TGCTTCCCATCCAGCTCCCTGCTTGTGGCCTGGGAAAGCAGTGGAGGATGGCCCAAAGCCTTGGGACCCTGCACCCGCGTGCGAGACCCAGAAGAAGTTCCTGGCTCCTGGCTTCAGATCAGCGCAGCTCCAGGTGTTGCAGTCACTTGGGGAGTGAATCATCGGACGGAAGATCTGCCTCTCTGTCTCTCCTCTGTGTACATCTGACTTAAAAAAGTAAAGAAGCAGCAGCAAATGATGCTTAAACAGCACAAAACATTATCTATGGTTGAAATGAGAAACTGGATCGTGTTTAAGTTGGGTCTGTTCAAAGAAGACATGTGTGACACACACCAGACTGTATTTAATGCAAAGACTCCCTAAAGAACACACGGAATTTAATATAGGCAAAGCAGTTCAACGGTGGCTTCCAAAATAGTCTGTTGTTAAATAAATACATGGGAATGTTCCGTGTTCTTGGTTTTCATGGAAATTCACTTAAAATCACTCCCTGGTATGATCACACGCCAAGCAGAGAGCAAAATGGCATAGGACAGGTGACCCGGCACGGGGATGAAGCCACCACCTCGGAGGAGTGCTGGGCTCTGGTCCCTCCTCTGCTTCAGATCCAACTTTCCATTAAAGCAATCCTCGGGAGGCTCAAGGGTTGGTCCCTTCCTGGAAGACCTCAATGGAGTTATGGGCCCTTGACTTTGCCTCACTTTGCCTGGCGGCTGTGTGGACGGGCCCAGCACACAGTCCATCTCTCTCCCTCCAGCTGCCTCTTCACCACACCACTGCTTTCTCTGTCCTCTTACTTCGACTCAGTGAAAAGACCGGGAAGGGAGCAAATTTAGCACAGTGAAGACACCAGTTCCAACCTCCTGGCTTTAGCCGGGCCCAGCTCCAACATCGTGGGCATTTGGGGGAGTGAAATGGCAAAAGGAAAACTTCTCTATGCCTTTCAAATAGATGAAAAATCAAAATTTACAATGGCAGGAAATAGCCAGCAATGGAGAGGGTGTGGCTAAAACCATCACACACTGGCGATAAGGGATAAAACTGGATAAAACTGGTGCAGTGTAGGCAGAATATAAACACATATGCCAACAATTTGTTTTCCAGATCCACCCAGATAAATATGTGTTATCAATGATTCCAGAATTGACATACCAGCCTTGGTGATAACAACATCAACTTGAAGACCATCCACATCCCCATTAAGAGTAGAATAGCTCCATCCATTGTTTGATATTCACACAGTGGATCCCTTATGCTTACAATAACATTATACAAATACAACCATCCTATACACTCCTGTAATAGCAATGAGCATCAACGCCACATTCAAAAATCATGTAGGATTTAAAGAGGGTTTTTTTGGTATAGAATTACATTTACGCCAAAGAAAAAAAAACAGGCAAAAATGATGTAATCTCCAAAATGCCAGAATATATGTCATCTCTGTTCCTAAATTGCACAGGTACAGGTGACACCCAACACAACTGCAATCTTGAGTGTAGCAACCAGGGAGGGGCACAAGGTGGCAGTACTTTTGCTGTTTGATCCAGATGCTGCACTCACAGGGGGATTTTGTGAAGTTCCCCAGAGCTGTGCATTATAACTCAATACAAACACAGCACCAGCGTTCTGTGAATGTGTCGGACCTGTTTCTTGTGTCTGTACTGAAGGAAGTTTATGGAACCACAGGAGCGACTGATCTGTCCCCCGAATATGAACATTAATTTTGCTCTGATTTATAAAGCATTACACATTACTTTGTGATTGAAAGTTGGCTCATTGGGAATCAAGGGACTTGTTTCAGGCTGCATCCTTGTACATACAAGTGCTTAAGCTAACTGAAACTGCCTTTAAATGAAACAAGATTTGTGACAAATAACAGTGCACAAGACATTTCAAAGAAGTCTTGAACACATGAAGTGTGCGTACATAAGTGGAAACGGGGAAATGTTTGATCAGCTTGGCTGTTAGACTCTTAAGAGGAAACAGCACACGATACCTTTGGTCCCGCTGGCCGTCATTCAGCATTCCCATCAGGACATCCTCCCCTGGCATGTGCTGCCAACTTTACGTGGAGAACATGCCTCAGTGCTCAGCAGTCAACCTGCACACAGGCGGCGCTGCCTCCATCCTGGCTCATAAACCGAGTCTGACAAACATGCTCTTGAAACTTCAGGAGCAAGTTCACATCCTGGTTCCTAAACAGACTTAGATATTTCTGTATAGTCCCATTGTAGTCTGGGGTACAAGCCTGCAGTTATAACCACACTCACAAGAATCCTACCATTGGAATCTGATCTGCGCAAGGTGATACGAACGCTGGACTGAGCCCAGTACATCATTCTTTCAGCCCTTCAGAGCCCGATTTCAACATCAGCATCAAAAGCCACCAGGCACTGGCTGAGGACTTGGGACCCTTCTCTTCCTGCTAGCTCAGCCTGAAGCAAAAGAGTGACTCTCCCTCATTGGCTGGTTTCTGCCCCCAGAACTGCAGCTCTCCCAGAGGCAGCCTGAACAGGAACCCACACTTCCTTTACCAACTCTGCCTTTCAGACAGAAACCAAAAACACTCACCCAAGTGTCTTGCTCTGCCACAGTGGCCGGCTCGGTGCAAAGGCTGTGGCACGCAGCATCATCAGGGAAGGCAGCCTGGAAGGTCCATAAAGGTTTGCACTTCTGCAACCTTCCTTCCCCTTGGAATAATGATCTCATCTGTGGTGGCACTCTGGGGAACTGAGGACATGTCAACAGGCTTTGTCAGCTGCTAGTTCCCAAAGCCCATTACAAGCCTCTGGTGGGTGTCTTTGGAGAGCCTGGCAACGTGTTGGAGATCCCCTTCTCACGACCTCTGATGGCACATTGGGATCTCCGACGACAGGTGCATAACGTGAGATCTGATACTTGCTGCGTTCACGTGTCAGGCTTCTGTGTCCCGGTGGATTCAAAGCTTCCCAGATTCTATCCTGAGAAGTTAATCCCGCATTTACCAATCCCTAAGTTGCATCATCTTTGAACATTCACACAAAAACAATCAGGGAATGTGTCCCCAATGGACCCCAGATGAGAGCAAAGGCAGAACATAATGTCAACCACACACACACGAGAAGTCATGGGACTCATTCAGACCACACAACGGAAATCAACTTGGAAGTGGGAATACTGACAAGTTCTAGGAAAACATACTTCATTGATGCTGAGCAGAGTAGCAAGGGAAGCCCATGGAACACGGCTCCTGCAGGAAAGCAGCTGTGACTGGCTCTCTCAAGGAGAAGCACCTGCTTCAGGTGTCTTAGCTGGAAGATCCTGTTCACATAAGTCACCCACATCTTGATTCAGCAGTGCCCAAGGGTCGCCAGAATTATCCACACTGAATTCTGCTAAGCACCCATTGGTTTCCCTGGTTGTGAAACGAATGCTAAAAGAGAAAACTCATTTGTCTGGACAATATCTGGAATCCTGTGTCAGACACACGTACAGTTGGGTCTAGGTTCGATATCCACATCCCCAAATGAAGCCTGGTCCTCCGAGCCGGCAGAGACTCTGGCTCTGAGAGGTCACCCTCACTTCTGCCCTCGGTGCAGGCCACTCTCAATTCCCATCATTCTCTAGGATGCCCAGCAGTGAGCGCACTTCCACCGAGTCCTCCGACAGGGACAGTACCCAGATTACAAGGACCCTGGGGCGGAAACGTCGAGGTGTAGACGCCAGCAGTCCTGAACGCCAGCCTTGCCCTTGCCCTTGTCCCACGATGTCACCTAAGCATTTCTCTCCCAGCACCCACAGTGTCCGCCAGGGAGCCTCATCTGGCTCTCTGCCCCAGGACTGACACCAGTGCGCCCTCATGCCTGCTCGGGCTGGCCCACCTTTTGTCTGCAAACTCCTTCAGACCTGTTGCAAGTCCCACTGTGGCACTCTCACCAACTGAGCTGCTGGGCAAATGATTCAAGGACCTGGATTGACTCAGAAACCATAGAACTACTAAAGAAAAATGGGAAATGCTCTCCAACTGGAACGGGGAAAGTCTTAGGAAAGACGCCAAACGCACAGGCAGGCAAAGCCAAAATAGGTGGGACTACAAACTAACAAGCTTCTGTACAGCAAAGGGAACTAGTATTGAACTGAAGAAGCAATCAACAGAATGCAAGAAGATTTTTGCATACTACACGAATGAAAGGACTAATATCCAGGATTTACAGAGCTTCAGAAACTGAGAGGCAGTCAAGAACAAAAACAAACAAAAGAACCCCAAAAAAACTCTGGAAAAATGGGCAAAGGAAATGGACACTTTTCAAAAAAGAACAGACTCAAATGGCTGACATGAAAAAATGCTCAGGCTCCCTAGCCATCAGGGAGATACAGATGAAAACCACATTGAGGTACCGCCTAGCTCCGGTGAGATTGGCTTACATTCAGAACTGAACACCTGTCGGTGTGGACGTGGGGAGAAAGGCACCCTCCGTCACTGCTGGGGGCAGTGCCGGCTAGTACAACCAATATGGAAACCACTGTGGAGCCTGCTTAGAGGATTTGGGTCTTGACAAGAACAGCAAGCACTTTATGGCCAGTCTCCGATCAAGGAACTCCTTCAGTCCAGCTTCCCTTATTGGTTTCAAGCCTCATCTGCCTCCCACATCAAAGCAAGACCACAAGATCATCCTAGGGAGGTCTTACCAAGCCCCTCCCCCAGGGATCTTAAAACTAATGGCTGACTCAGGCTGTATGGGAGCCGAGTTTATCAAGCAACTCAACAGCAGCATTCTTCAGCTCCAGCGTCAAAATATGAACACCCAGCTCCTCATTCATTACTCTAATCCCCTCAGCAAGATGAGCAGGCCTGACCTCATCTGGAGCCTCCCGATGTATGGCCTTACCAACAGATGCTGTGGCTAGACAGAGGCAGGCACCTGGTACCTGGAAGGAGCATGGTTCAAGAGAGATGACGGCCTCCCTAGCATCCTTTGAGAATCAAGATGGTGGAATAGGCTAAGGACACTGCCAAGATGCACAGGAAAGGCATGATAACTTCCAGCCGGCCCTTACGGGTCCTCACTGCCGTGGTGGCTTCCTTCTTTGTCTGTTGGTTCCTCTTTCAGTTGGTTGCCCTTCTAAGCACAGTCTGGCTGAAGGAGATGCTGTTTCTTGGCAAGTACAAAATCCTCGACGTCCTGGTGAACCCAACAAGCTCGCTGGCCTTCTTCAACAGCTGTCTCAACCCCGTGCTCTACGTCTTCGTGGGCCAGGACTTGCGGGAGAGACTCCTCCACTCCCTGCCTGCCAGTCTGGAGAGGGCCCTGAGTGAGGACACCACCCCAACCAGTGACACAGCTGCCAACGTGGCTTCCCCGCATCCCGAGACTGAGTTACAGAGGATGTGAGGAAGGGGCTCAGGGACACCTTGGAACTGTGCCTCATTGGACCCTGGTTCGAGTCCCAGCCGCATCCTGCCTTGTGTGGTCTGGGGCCGCTCGGCTGACTACGAGTTGCTCAGGGATTACTTCTCACCCCTGATTTGTACAGTGACCAGCCGGAAGCACATATCCCTGAACAGCTCTGGTGCCTCTACCCCTTTCAAAAGTACCAAGTCCTTCCCATCATGTGCATTCACCGATAGGGTGCGACCATCTCTTGTGTTGCAAGCAGCATGCTATCTCTCCGTACCGGTGGCTGTGGAGTTTGTACATCCAGGTCATTCAAGATAAGTGCCATGAATGAGGATGTGCTTCTGACATTCGAGTGGCTCATAGAAGCAAGACACCCCTGTTAGTGATGCCAATTGAGGCAGGGACTGGTAGTTTAGGCACCATGTTAATCTAGCTGGGGCGGTTATGGAGAGTGTACTTGGTTGAGCTCACAGCCCCGGGATCTTGTTGAAATGCTCTTTGGCATTCACTCCTTATGTGGCTCTGCATTATCCAGGCAGCATCTCACGCAACATGGGGACCTCTGAACACCTGAGACTCCAGGGCACGTAGCATCTCACTGCACAACCGGCTCTATGGACACAGGTGTAAGCATTAATTATCTGCACCGTTGACTGTAGAAGTAAACTGCCTTGTCCCTCTCATGCCAGAGGATCCAAGGCCCTTCAGAGTGAAGCAAAAGCCAGCCTTGACAAGCCAGCCTCTTTCCCCAGCTTGTTTGGCCTGTGGTATCAGCCCTGACTTTCACAGCGAGTGTTGCGCTGGCTCATGCTCTAGCTCTGCAATTCTGAAAGTACAGAAGAATGAGTCAAATATTCCAAGTCTCGCCCTCCTGGATATGAGATGACTTTGTGGTTTTACTTCAGAAAGTTAAGATGGGTAAGTTCAGTTCATCTGGCCGGGAGAACTTGAAGCACAGCTCTGGGTCTGTAGGTGGTCAGGAGTGAAATTCCAGAAAAGACCAGGGAAACAATGGGGCATTCCAGTTTTGAGTGGTAGTCAGACAATGGGGACTTGGTCAACCAATCCCAACTGCTTGACCAAGCAGCTCAGTAACAGGGACCCAGTGAGGAAGATGCAGACCCAAAGAGGCAGACGCTATCTACTCAGTTCATAACCTAAGAAGATTGCACACAGAGCCTATTTCAATGGAACGTTAAGAGGTTTTAACAGGCTGGGACCATTGTTACAGAGCTAAAATTTCCACCGTTTGTTGTAGATAAGTTATGTATGAGAAACTCATCTTTGAATTTGGTTTACAATCTTTGTCTATGTTCCAGAGTAGTGGTTTTTAAATTGATCTAGCCACAGGTTAATGCTTAAGTTAGAATTTAGACTAAGATGAAAGGGAGGACATATTTAAGATTCTATCCGAGCTGCATGAAATATGCTAAGCAACCTTTCTGGAGGTTGCTTTAGCTGTTTGGAACAAGGAGGCAACAAAATGGCCCTAAGAAGCCTGGGGTGGCAGGTGTTGTATGACCCCCAAGTCGAGTCTCTTGCAAACCATTGGTTAGGCTCAGCTGCAATTTTACCTTCAAAGCTTAGGTTTCTGTCAAGAGACATGCATTTTTTCCTGTGTAGTTGCCTGCAGTTTCCCAGCCTCACGGGCTGTTTGTCAGGCTCCATTCCTATCTTGAGATTGGCCTCAACATCTTTCCAAGAACTAAGATTTGAAGCTCTACAACTTCCAAGTGTAAAATATTTTGAGAGCTATGTCCAAACAGCAATTGATAAGCAAAAGGATGCTGTGTTAAGTTAATGTTACCTGTTCAACCCTAGGATCCCGACACATGAGGTTGTGCCAAAAGCCAGGCTAGAAGAGCAGGGCTTGTCAGGCTTCTGTTAGGTTCTGAGCCTTAATGCCACGTATTTGCTTCTTACAGAAGCATTCTTCTAAGCACAAACTGGTGATGAACCTGTGGCTGAGTTGGGAATTTCCTTAGGATGTAACTCATGAGGAATTTAGTCTATACAGAGGGAAAGCTAGAATTTTCCACAGGAAAACATGACATTTGTAAATTAATAACTCGTGATAAACTTGCAGTACATTCCAAGTATTGGTAATCATTAAAATCTCTGAATTATCTTTTAACCCTATCTTCACACATTGGTTTCAGGGTATTTTAAGTTATGCTCATCAGAGCTGGGGCTTTGAGGTTTAATTCAAAAGGATCTTCCTGTTTTGACAAGACTCTCAGTTAAGATTCAAGTACCAGAAGAGCACATGAGTGGGGGTTTCTACAAGGCATTATGTGAAGGGATCCCACACCTAAGGTGTAAGTAAGCCATATCAGATCCCTTATTTGTGCATAGGAGATACTGGGGCAGTTCGTTGCTAAAGTGGTTCATGGTGGGTTTCCTTCAAGCTGCGTGAAGTCATAGCCAGACTCCGGGTAGTCACTTCAAAGTAGGTGTGCCCACTGGTCCCACCACTTCTATGCGAACCTGAGGAGTCGGTTTGTAAGTTTGCTTTTCTGAATGACTCCATCATGCCTAGAGACCTGGATCCTGGAGGATGCTTCCTAAGCCTGCAGAACTCAGCATCCTCAGGTGAAGGCCAGCATGTCCGCACCAAGAAGAGATGCATGCTGGGCTGTGGCCTGGGTGTGGAGAACGCCTCTGCGACCTCCCACAGGGCACAGATGTCACAGCTTCTGGTTTAGGGGCCAATGTCCCTGCAGGCTTACACTGTGGTTCTCTTTCTGCCCAATCCTGCTTCCTGTATTAGTCTTACTGTTGATTTGTTTGTTGTGATGGTACCCTCTATCACACATCTTTAACACATGGTGGTCTTGAACAGGGGTGAGTGATCCAGCGGTCAAGGGAGATACAGAACAAGTGGGAGGCTCCTCTGAAAGCATTGGACTTGTCACTTATGGGGGTTTCCCCTTGTAAGATTAAGGCCCCTACTAAGCCTGAGGACCGACTCGGAAGTGGATTCTGCAATGTTAGAAATGAAGACTTTCGCTGGAACTTCGAACAGCCACATGGAGCATTACCTCCATCCTGCCCACCCTCCCCTGACCCCACCATGGGGGTTGGTTAGTTTAATGCATTTTGTGTCCTCTGCCACAGGTTTCATGATTTTGATACTTCCAAAACATTCTCCAGGATACTTAAGGATTTACACTGAAAGCAGGAGTCCCGAGCATACTGTGTCATCTGGCTTCAACTTAAGCTTGACATTCTAGCCTCACCTTGCAGGAAACCACGAGGAGACAAGAACGTGTTCCATGATTCACCTAGTACAGTTGCCGATACATTTCAGAAAGGGTTACAATGTCAGTTCATGGACAGTTCTAGTTTTAAGATTTCTTGTGGGTATCCAACACCATCACTTGTGGTCTGTACACCTAGCAGGGACTCATACTCCAAGGTGATGCCAGCCAAAGTTCTCAGGAGCCACCGGCTGGCTCAATTCTTCATTCTGGGCATCATCTACACAGTTGATGTGCAAAGGAATTCCCTCCAAGTCTGATGTCTCAAATTACTGTGTAACTCAGGAGGCAACATCAAAATTTCAGAAAGCAACTCCAAGAAGAAATGAAACACTACAATTTCAGGATCATAATGGACAATGCAAGAAAACTGTCCCCTTTATACAGAAACCCTCACAAGCTCTGGCACAGATGCTTGACATCATGGTCAAATGTGTGCAAGAATAATTCCGCTGTTTGTTCCACCAAAACAAGTTCCTACTACAATTCTTATCCTACAACTCAATCTTGAGTCAGTTAAGGAAAGAACCGTATGACAAAGAACAGAACCTAAAGGTCGAGGAAAGACTGAAACCCTAAACACAGGTCCCTTGATTAGCATAAGATCGATGGGAACAGCATGAATAAAAGGCTCTTTGGCAAGATGTTAGTGACTTTAACCTCCAAGCTCACGTTCATGGTAAAAAGCCAACTCCACAGCAAACAATGCCTGAATGGATTACAGAATTCCACAGGGTAGTCGTGTCCAAAGGAAGGTAGAGCTGCATTCAGGTGGTTGTAGAGACATCTGGACCCTGCCATACAGCAGGAAATTCCTTGTGGCCCTGCCTGCAATGGAACAATATTCTTCACACCTTCATTACCCCGACCATCCACTGCACAGACCCCAGCACTGCCCCCAGTGTGCCAGCTCTGGACTCAAGATTAAACTTCGCTGGACTGAGATTTGAAGGGAAAACTTTCAAAGCGGCAAATAAGAATGACACAATGGCTGAAATCCGGATTTTCCATTCATATGTTTCAGTTAGAGGTCAGAATGGAATTGCATTTACCTGCTAGGATATCTTTGAGGTCATTTTAAGAGTTTACTTTCAAACTGAACTTTTCTGAAGCTGGAGAATGCAAGAGGAAAGGAGTTGAATTTCTGAAAGGAAGAACATAAGAATTCCAGGTTTAAGCAAGCATCATTACAACTTGACTAGGACATTGAGTATCTAGAATAGCTACTCCATCTACATCAGCTATTTTAAGTGAAGATTAATTGCCAAAGACGCATGGGAGGCCAGAAAGCTTGGTCTGACATCGGCAGGGTGGTAATAAGGACCTCTGCATGTGACAATCTCCCCTTGCCCCAATGCTCATTAAATCTGCTTCACTGATGTGCGTGGTCCCAAAGCCATCTGTTAAACTCAATACCGGAAGCTGAAGTTAGCATAGTCAGTTCATATAGGCAACGTTCAGCAAAAGGATTTTTGATCAGGATATCAGGAACAAGGCATCAGTAGGATAAACAGTGACTGGCAGGCAAAGGAAGAGTGTGAGAATAGAACATCATTGGAGTTACCTTCCCTGACTGGGTCTGCCACTCTTGAGGCAGTGAACCATGGTGACAGCTATTACTCAGGAGACTATTGGCCTTCTCCATGGCTGCAACCAGGGCCAGAAAGATAGAGACAATATAATCAGAGGGCTATGGCAACAGGTGGTATTGAGATCTCTGGGAAAAAAATTCCCCAGACAGGCAAGTGTTTGGACTCTGCCTCCTGCTGGACACA